ACACACACACACACACACACACACACACACACACACACACACACACAAACAAAAAGATTAATCATTGCCCACTGCCAGGTCCAGACTGACCTCCCTCTGTCTGACATCAGATCAGGACCGGGATACACATGTAATCTGCCATATCTCTCTTACCCATCACCACCGAACGAGAGATACTCTCTCTATCTCTCTCACCACAGATGACCAGGGGATGTGCTGTCGGCGGAGTGTTGTGTACGTGCCTGACACACACAAACATTTTCATAGACAAACAAACAAGGCTTCCTGATGACTTTTATGGTCTCGCAGTCACCAGCACTTTCACCTCTGATGTTTCCTGAAGAGGAAAAAGTGATAAACGTGCTTTAAAAGTCAATGTGGGTTCCGCTCTAGTGATTAAGCTTATTATCCATGCACCTCACTGTTGTTATTCGCCCGTGAGTGGAGCTAATAAACGTCAAATATGATGTGTCTGTCTGTGAGCGAGAAAATGCCGAGTGCTCTTTCCAACGTGAACCCACAAACACACATTTCAACCGTGTCTGACATTTAGGCCTATAACGATAATTGCTTTCTCTGGATTCAAAACTCCGAAGGGTGTTGTTAGCACATTATGTAACGTAATCGCACCACAATTGTAACCGCTATAGATCCACAGTCTCAACATGCCAGCTTGGCTTTCACCCATGAAAACCCAGTGAGTGGAAAATATTAATTATCATCCTTGGAGCTCATCTGCTTTCCTTTACTTTGGGAGCGATTAAAAACTAGGCAAAATCGGCTTAACTTGAAAAAGCACAGCAATTAATTGTGATCTAGTTTAATGATAGCCCATTTTGCTGTGTTAATGTTGTTAATTAACAGTCAAACAGGAAGTGGTATTGACTTTGAGTGCCTGCCACTAGACATTAAAGAAGGTGCAGATTTTCTAAATACCAGATAAGGATGTGTAACATGTGCAGACGAATGCCACGGACACCGCTAGACATATGGACATCCACACACACACACACACACACACACACACACACACACACACACA